AAATAGTGGCAATGTGCCTACTAAATTCCGAGGAAAAAGAAAACTTATTGTGGTTTATCAACACTTTTAAAGAGAAGAATCCAAATTTCGACAGAACAAGTTCAATTATGACGGACAAGGATTTGACCGAACGGTGCCTTTTAAAAGCAGCATTCCCTAATGCCAATATCATCCTTTGTGTTTTCCATACTCTAAAAACATTCCGGAGGGAGATTACTTGTGAAAAATTAGGTATTACCCAGTCGCAGAGATTGCAGGCCCTAGAAGTGTTGCAAGAATTAGTATATGCAAAGACAGAAGATCTATTTCAAAACGCGTATGAAAAGCTGAAGCAAGTTGCTCCCAAAGTTATTTTAGATTATTATCACAAAAATTGGCATAATATTAAAGATGAGTGGAATGTCAACAATACATTTCTGAAGAGCAATTTTTTGAATAACACCAATAATCGTCTAGAATGCTTAAATTCAAAACTTAAGAACGTAATTTCTAAAAATAGTTCCTTAGAAGAGTTTTTAAAAAGCTTTTTTACAATAATTAAATCTTTAGAGGATAAAAGAGATCATGATGCCGTATGCAATCTGCAAAAAAGACGCCTACATGGAACAAAAATGGATCCTGACTTAATAAAATACGAAAATTATTTAACCAAAGAAGCAGGAAAGCACGTTGTTCGTCAATTTGAAAAATCAAAAAAACTCAAGCACGGTAAAAAAGCCGATGACAGAAGTGACGAATATATATTTACTTATAACAATAATTCTGTGATGTCGAGTAGAGACAAATGTAACTGTGCATTTTTCACTGCTATGTTGCTACCATGTTTACACATTTTTTATGTAAGAAGAGAAGAAAAACTTCCATATTTTGATAAAGATCTAATTGACCAAAGATGGGCATTAATGTACTACAAGCATAATCACAGGCTACTCAAAAACTGGACCGATCATGTATCAGAAAATGCAGTTGACATAGAAGAGCAAAATACTGGAGTAAAAGTTGACACATTACCAACCCAACACCATCGTGTCTTGAGTTATGGGGAAAAAAGGAAGAAAGCTTTAACGGTGACGGATAGTTTGGCTGATCTTTGTGCACAAAGGTCCAATGTGCTGTATACTCAAAGACTGAACACCCTAAAGCAGCTGGTTACCTATTGGAAAAATAATGTCTCCGTTGGCATTAGTTTAATAGAAAATGTGATTGAGGATGATGCAATAAATTATGATGTAGTTTCTAGTGACTCAATGAGTGAAATTAATGATATACAAAGTGAATATTATGACATGGCTGGTGAAGCAAATATGACTGAGATTACAGGTGCTAATAATAATAAAACAACCTGTGATAATAATAATACTGACCATGACTATTGTGGCATGTTCAGTCAACCAAATACTAAGTTAAGAGAAGACCCTAATTTTTCGGAGAATCCGTTCCAAGATTTAAAAACACAAATTTCGAACATTACTATTCCTCCAAAAATTAAAAGACGAGGGAGACCAAAAGGTCAAGATATGACCGTAATTGGTTTACCAAAAAAAAAGGAAAATAATAAGCCTACCCCATATGTCAAGTTGAATTTAAAAAACAAACAATTTTTTATTTTGACTGCTTTTATTGGACGGGATGAGGCAATCAACATAATTAAAAACAATTTAACAGTTGACCAAGCCACCATTAAGGATGAAGAGGATATTGCTCGCAGTATTTTAAATAAAAATATGGACCTTTTTATTATCAGGTGGGTAAAATAAACTTATTGTTCTAATTTTAATGTGTTGGTGTCAATTTTAGATCTATGGTAAACTGTAATACATGGAAACTTATCCAGTATATTGTCCAAAAACAGAAGCAGAAGCAAGACTATTGCAACATTTGTCTTGAAGATTGCAACGATGAGGCAAAATTAATTTTCTGTGATGGGTGCCTGCTAACCTTCCATATCACATGTGCTTGTGTAAAGAACAAGAAGCCAAAAACAAAATTTTGGTTCTGTCGCAGTTGTTACAGTAATCATAATTATTGTCACTTTTAAAATGTTATTTTAATAAAGCTTTTACTTGTTCTTCAAATTTTTACCTGTTTTAATTTTTAATCAAGTAAAGGGTTTTCCAATAGATCTTTAAAATGTAATAAAATAAATTGTATAAGTAAAACTGACATGATTTTAGTTTTATTCTAAAGCAAATATTATTACATTATGTTTAAAAAATTACATTGCCAAATGTCCGCCGCGGCTTTGCCTGGTGACGAATCCTGGAGACCCAATTTTCGATGACATTATCGCATAAAAGTGGCCTAATTTCACCAATGACGAGCCTGATGTTGGCTTTTAGGGCGACAACTGTCTATGGGTTGTCGGCTAGACACGAGATTTCACAAATCTCCAGAGAAAAAAATCCAGTGGCGTTATCTCTGGGCGTTATATCGCACGATCTTGATGTCGCTACCTTGCGATTTCGTAATAACTTTCGAACTGCTGATGAAATAATATGAGTGTCTCTACTGCAGTATGGCACGTAGCACCGTCCTGTTGGAACCAAATATTCGCAAGATCTATCCCATCTACTCTAGGCCAAAAAATATCTTATCATCGGAGTGCAATATACGTTTGCCGAATAAAGCACTGATTTTGATAGTAGGTTTTAACTATTTCAACGCGTTATAGAATAGTGTAGCGTTCCATATTGAAATGTAAAGATTAACTGTGAACTGAATACTCCTACCACAGATCCCATCGATCCACCCATCAATAAAGGCTTGCGCGTTTGCCAAAGATCGAGCGTAGCTATTGGAAAACCCTTTACTTTGCAAATTAAATGCACCTATTTGAAACAATCATTAAAAAATCGTAATGGATTCCAGTATAATTCAGCTATTTTGTGTAATTTGCATTAAATACCACCGGCTATCATTTCAGTAACCGGTACCGGCAACCAAACCGGTCGCCGGTAGTTCCGCCCACTAAACTTCGACCAATAATAAGCAACTACCGGCAACGGAATCAGTCGCCGGTACCGGCTACCTATCCACTGCCATCTTAAAATGATTTAAATCAAAAATTTGTATAGAGCGCCATCTATGAAACAATCTGTGTGTCACCGTCAAATGTCACATTTTTATTATTTTATAAACACAGATTATAAAGGTTAAAAATGTTTTTCTTGAAAATTGACAGTTTTTCACAGTGAAAGTAAAGAAAATGTTTTATGAGGACTTTACAGTGGAGTCCGTGCCCGAATTTAAGTTATAGTTTACTGCCGGCGAAATTAAAAGGTCAGTACAATGTTCATATAAACTTTTCAAATATTAGCGTTGAAAAACTATTTAATACTTTTGTATTTTTGTATTGAGATAATAAAATAATTTTCACATTTAGTATTATTTTACAAGAAAGACACTTTATTTTAACGATTGTATGACATTTGACAACTGTCAACTAACTTAAAACTAACTTCAGCCCGTGACTAAAAACCTGTTGCTAACTTCAGCCCGTGACTAAAGCGCCATAAAGCCACAACTTGTCAATGTGTATTTAAAAGGTCACTTAGTGTCATGGAAACATGTACGATAAAGGGCGTTTTAAAGGTGGGAGTAGAAAATAGTATTATACTATTTTCTGTATATTATGTATTAAGTTTGATAAACGCCATTTTATACACGAATTTAATTTAGGCACGAGCGAGTTCTTAAATTAATGAGTGTATAGAAAAGTTTATAAACGAGGTGCATACTATACTTTTTCTACGACAAATACTTATTATTATCTTAAAATGATTTAAATAAAATATTTTTATAAAGCGCCATCTATGAAACAATAGGGGAATCTGTGTTAGGTACCGTCAAATGTCAAATTTTTCTGTGTTATAAAGTTTATAAATCAAAGTATTTTCGTTGAAAATCGATTAACAAGAGTTTTTCTCAGTGAAAGTAAAGAAAATGTTTTATGAGCTCTTCACGGTGGAGTCCGAGCTCGAATTTAAGTTATCCAGTTTACTTTTGGCGAAATTAAAAGGTCAGTACAATGTTCATATAAACTTTTCAAATATTGGCGTTAAGAAACTATTTAATGCTTTTGTATTTTTGTATTGCGATAATAAAATAATTTTCACATTTAGTATTATTTTACAAGAAGGGCACTTTATTTTAACAATTGTATGACATTTGACAACTGTCAACTAACTTAAAGCCAACTTCAGCCCGTGACTAAAACGCCATAAAGCCACAACTTTTCAATGTGTATTTAAAAGGTCACTTAGTGTTATGGAAACATGTACGATAATAGACGGTTTAAAGGTGGGAGTAGAAACAAATATTTATGTATCCTCCAGGCTCTCGGCTGCAATAGATCAAAAAAATATAAAAGTACCTAGAACACAAATAGACATTTCTGAGATAAAAAACTTTTTTTACGAGTCTTATTTTAATGACCGAGGCTATAGCCTATAGTCTATAGTCTATAGACGAGGCCAGAAAAAAGACGAGGACAAAATAACATGTGGTGCCCACAAAATTTTTTTAGGCGACCTTATTTTATCATTTTATTAATGATTTATTGATATAATTATCAATAAAAAAGAACATTAAGAAAAGCGGCCGAAAAAGTGTTATACGCGGCCAATAAGAATAAAGTTTAAGTATAAAATCCCTTTAAGATATTTTACAAATTCCTATCCCATATATTTTTAATAAAAAAAATTGTCATAGGTACTACTAACCTTGGCAATTTTTAAATGCCCCTTTTATTATTACTTATAGTGCATAAGTTATCAATTTATAAATTAATTAAGCGACATACCTATTTTAAGTTTTATCAAAAAATTATTACAGCACAGAAACACCTATAGGTATTAAAAGTAATAAAAACCTTGTAAAACTTGTCTATCTAGTTATTACGAAACTATACCAATTTAAATGAAATTGTTTAAATAACTTAATACTTTAGAACAAACCAAAATTACCCTAATTAGTTCAAAAATTATTTTAAAAAGGCTTACCTTATTTGTTTACTACTGTCAGTCTTTTGTTTTAACACAAAGAAATAAAAATTCTACATGAATGATAATTGTAAAAATAAAACTTGGCTTGGCCCACTTTTATATAAATTTAACTCCATATTAAACATATATTATAAGAGATGCGTTTACCGTCGTTAAATTTAATTTTAAAACAAACAGGACTTACATTTAAACACACGCGAATAAGATTAGCAAAACAAAGATGAGTAGGTAGGTATGTATGTATTTGTTTTGAAACGATATGACGCGCTGTTGTCAGATCTCACAAATCAAAAACAAATCTCGTAATAATTACGTAATAAACCCTGAAATATAAAAAAATCCATTAGATTTTAATAAGTTTTGATATAAAACGCAATTAATCTTATAAATAGTTTTATCTGTATTTTGTATGCCACAAATTTAAGATAAATCGATTAAATTCAATAAAATTGGATAAGATAAATAAGGCAACAGAGCTTGCTTTGTGCCAGTTATATAATTACCAAATGAAAATGTAATACATATGCAACCCCGAGGGCAACCCAGTATACACGCTTGCTTACAAAGTTACAAAATTGATAAATCCTGATTTCATATTATTTTTAAGGCAATATTGCAATATTTTGTAAATGGGAAATATTTCAAATAAATTATTATATAAATATTACCGAATAATCCAGCATATTTTAAGAATATATTTAGGAATAAACCCATAAACTAGATCAAAATTAACAGCTGCATGTTGGGCTACTATTTTCATTAATGTATAATATTGTTTGTTAAACAATATAGGACTATAAGAGTATTAAAATTAGAAGTTTTTAAAGCCATATCGGGGTGTTTATAAATAAGTATGTGCCTATTATTACTTCAAGTAATTTACTTGTACCTTATACGGTATAAGTTATCCCTAATTAATATAATAAGTCTAGACTAGCTAGGACCTGTATACCCTATTAAAAATGCCCTATATAACCCTTATTGATCCAGATAAGGAAACTAATATGGATTTATATGGTTCTATATTTCCTATATGGAACGACCTGGTTTACACCATGGAATCTATAAGGTTTAATATGGAATTTCATTTTAAAATGTACATGTATTTATTGATTGAGGCTGTTTTAAGGCTGTCGTGTGAGTCAAGCTGGCTGATGCTGCCTCAGGCAGCATGTCCGTAATTTGACAAGTCTGAGCAGTATTGCCAAATTTTCAACACCCACGCACATAGGTGTCCACGCCAACCTCACTGCATAAAAATGTACTCATTGCATACTTTGGATGTACTCGAGGACACGTAAAAGTACTCGAGTACACGGGAAAGTACTCGAGTACACGGGAAAGTACTCGAGTACATTTTTGCAATCTTAATTGTATCAAGTACAAGTATAAGTACATTCAAATTAAAGTACTCGGGACTGAGTACCGAGTACACTGAAAGTACTTGGAGTACAGTGTTTGAGTACTTGTACTCGAGTACCGCACAGCTCTGACTACAAGGGATTTTTATATGGATTTATCTGGTTTCTGTTTTATGTGTCTTTTCATATAGGTTTCCCTATATAGTTGAATATGGAATTCCATTTTTAAATGTATATATATATTTAAACGAAAATTGCATATTAAACCATATAGATTAAATATGGATCTATATAGATAGTAATAATTTTTTCACACCCAAACCATATTGGGCCAGATAGAGCTCCAATATGGTTTAATCTGAAATATAAATCACTTTTCTATAATATATGGAAAACCATATTATGCTTTTCCATGTATGGAATTCTATCTGCCCTTGCGGCCTTGAGTTTACGGTGAATTCACCGTGAATTCACCGTTTGCGTGAATTCACCGTGAATACACCGTTTATGTGCAGTGAATATACCGTCCATTTGTGACATTTGTAGACGGTAATTAAACGGTGAACTCACGCTGTTTTTGCGATAAATTCACGGTGATGTCACGGTTAATTCACGGTGATTTCACGGTAAATTCACGGTGAACTCAAATTTGCAAAATCACCGCAAATTCACTGTCAAAGTACCGTAAATTTATCGTGAAATCACCGTGAATTCACCGTAAAAGCGCTGTGAGTTTACTGTGAAAACACCGTAAATTGACTGTGAAAACACCGCAAATTCACGGTAATCTCAAGGTTGCAAGTACCACGTGGTAATGTAAATAATAAATTATTTTAATTGTTTGTAAATGGTTGTTTACTTTTTAATAAATAGTAATTTTGTTGCTAATAGACGGTATTAATAATTAAATAAAAAATTAATAATAAATATTAAGATTTTTTTATTTATAAACATTATTAAATAAATAATTTGTTTATACTTAAATATTGATGAAGCGCATTTATTTTACAAAAACTAAATTCACAAGTTCAACAGTAAAATTTAAAGGGTTTATAAATTTACCTGCCTACTTAAACATTATATTGTTATTCTGGAAGTTATAAACTACCAGTACATATTTAATAAACGACGACATTGAAAAGCCAAGTCCGTAGTGGTTCCATTGGCCTTGAGTTCACGGTTTATTCACGGTGAATTCACCGTGAATTCACTGTGAATTCACCGTGAATTCACCGTGAATAAACCGTCTGTGAAAAGTGCGTGAATTCACCGTCTAACTACCGTTTACAAATGTCACAAACAGACGGTTTATTTACGGTGAATTCACAGTGAATTCACGGTGAATTCACGGTGAATAAACCGTGAACTCAAGGCCGCAAGGGTGGTTTAATAGTGCTATATTGAACCAGATAGAACCATATAGATTTTTATTTTGTGTTTCTATTTGGCATTTTCAAGTATACAAACCAAGTGCATCAAAACCGGGGTTGTGAACCGGTCCAAGAACCGCTTGTTTGTTACGAACCGGTCCGAAAATAAACAAATTATAAATCTGGACCGGTCCATGGACCACGTCCGTTTGTTAAGTGACTTGGACGGAACCGTTTTCAAGAGTTTTGGAGCAGGTTAAATGCTTTGGACCTGCACAGTAAAAAATCTGTGTAGTTTTAATTGTTTATTAATGTAGTTTTAATTGTTTATTAATGTAAACATTCCTCTATATATTAGGTAAGTGCCTTAATTACATTACTAAGATGTTGTTTTTTCATGTTTTGTATTTATACATAACCAACAATTTAATGTTGGATGAAAAACTACACATTTGAAACACAAAAATGTAATATTCCCTTATCAACCATAATTTAAATGTTGCTGACTATGAATCATGTCTTTTCACACCATGATGCTGTGATGTTACAGTTTTAATAACGTGTAAATAAAATTACATGATTGTAATGTAATTTACCCCTTCCCATTTTATTTGGTTTTCGTTGCAAATAATGTATAAATGTAAATTTCCGCGTAATAATATGTTAAAAAATTAGGAATGTAATATTACACGACTTGTCTGGATTTTTTACGAGACCGGTGAAAAATTACACTATTCGACATCTAATTTACTCTGGAATCAAGGGGAATCAGTGCCATTTTGATTTTGTGTTTGACGTGCATGCATACGCGGTGTTTGTGGTGGTTTTTTGAGAGTTTTTGAGTAATAACCCTATAGCTATAGCTACAAGTAAGTAAATATGTATAGTTGCGAATTTTGTTTGTTTAAATGTGTAACAATTAGAAAATATGAGTTACATCAATATTTTCACCGAAATTGGAAAAATGTAACCTACAAATGTAAGCGTGCAACCTGTAGTTTAACTTTTCGTAGTTTCTCTGCATTTTCAACTCACATTTATCGATTTCATTAAGAAATTTGTATTAAAAATGAAAAAGTAAAACATTGCGAAATAAATAATTGTATCTTTGTTAGCTCTAACGATATGGATTTTTTAAGACATATGTATTTGGATTTTAAAGATGTTAGCTTTAAAGGAATTCAATGTCCTTTACGAAAGGATTGCAAAAATGAAACTTTGTATCTCTAGGCAGTTTTCGCTCTCATGTAACGCGTAATCACTTTTTAATTAAAAAAGATCAGTCTTGGTTTGTATCGATATAGACCATGTATGGTGTTAATTTGGTGTTAAAATGGTCATGAAATTTTGAACAGTGTATATACCTAGTTATTATATTTTTTATTGTTTTAAAAGCGTTACCTATAGATAGATAGATAGATATATAAAAACATTACCAACTTAATTATTATAAATTTTTCCTGCATGCAGGTAGTTTTAATTATTTTATTTTTTTTATTTCAAGGCGACGAAGATATTAGACTCTTTTACGTTTATTTTGAAAAAGCCAATGTCTACTTGGATGGATTCAAGACATTTTTGGAGGCGTTTAAATATGTGATGGCGCTATTTTTTATTTTAAACCTAAAGTATCCAAAAAACTTAAGCGCAACATTGGAATTTCTGCAAAGATTATATTTGAAAATTCACCCAGACACTGGCTTAAAAGCGGGTAACAAGAAAACAACCGCCACAAAACAAAAAGTAATTAATTAAATGCTTAAATTAAACAAAAGCAAATAAAGCCAATATATTGGCTATATAACTAATAGTTAAAGATAACTATATAATTAATAGTTAAAAATTATTCTGTTTGCCATGTATATTTTATTTTAAAGAATTATTTTTTGTTATTTCTTTTATTAGGTATACCTACATAATAATATTATGTACCTATATTATAGGTATATTATATACCTATTATACTATTTATTTTATGTTTCTGGTTGGTATATTATATTATAAATTTAATGTGCAATCCAAATTGTTTTTTTTAATTAATCCAAACCAATCTGTATAAGTTTTGTCAAGACATTAAAAATTTAATATGGTAAGTACAAACTTTAATACAAATTTTCATTTTCATTATCATTGCAGGTCTCAATTAAAAATTGGCTATTTTATTTAAGTAAACACAGTTTTAACTCATAAATATGCAAGGTGCACATGTTTCATAACTAAAATATTTGAAAAATGCATTAAAATTTAATAATTTTTTTTTTATATTAGCATAACTTTGTAAAAAAAGACATAAGAAAATGTACATGTTAGGTTTTTCTAATAAAAAATTACTAGAAAAAGTTTATGTAATATTTATTTTTTTAACTTCTTTTTTTTGCATGTTTTAGTTTTTTTTTATAAAAGAGCAAGTTTAAATAGGTACCTAATAGGTTTTTAATAATTCGTGAATCAGTCTGTGTACAAAAAAAGTAAAAAGATAAAATGAAT